TAAAAGTTTTCTATGCCTTCTGATGTTTACATGTTTCTACTGAGTTCTCATGCACTGTTCATGTAAATAATGATTGTTTTGCATTCTTCTTTGTGGGAGGAGAGAATTGATGGACTGTTGGTTTGACCAGTGTGGTTGGAAAAGTGGCAATTTTACCCTCCAATCCACTGTCACTTTTGGAATTCTATATATTGCGAGGTCAGAAATAAAAGTTACTTCCTTTTGCTCTTTTGATCTTAGTGTGAGTGCGTGAATTATTTTGTGTTGTAGTGCAACATTCCCCTTCCCTATTATATGAAACTGCTGTTTGTACAGGGCCCTCTGCATAAGAATTCTGCACATAACCAAGAGAAGACTGGAGTCAGAACAAGGAACTCTTCTGAAATTTTTAACCAGACTCTAATTTAAGGCCCAGAAGCCAACTACATTTTTTGAGCAAGCTTCTTTGAAGATTATAAAGCCTGCAGGGAAAGAAAAGGAGACTGTAGGAACACAATGCTTGTAGACTAGCCTAAGATCTTGAACTTGTTCTCCAAATGCAGTGTTTTGCAATTGGCTATCAAACAATCCAGTCATGGAGGTACTCTAATTCCTGAACTGCAGGTGTGACTTAAGAACCATAAACAGGAACACAGGCACTTCTGAATCTTGACTCATCAATGCCATGAATGGCTTTGCCAGATCTGAGGGCAGCAGGACAGGAAAAAAAGCTCTTTAACATACTGGTGCCAAGATACACCTTACCATGCCACTGTCACATGCAATTACTGCATTTGAAGAACCTTCTTTTTTTCTAGATCTTAAGAGGGGAATTTCAGTCTCAGTATCATGGCCTAGTAGATACCATAGAAATTACTTTAGTTAGAGAATAACAAATCAGTATTCCAAATCCCCATAATTCTAATGATAGGCATCCACTCACTTCTCTAGCCCAGGAGAGGGACTCAGAAAGGAAGAAGGCAATGGTGCATACAGAAGGAACCACGGAGGATTCAGAGCCAAGAGAAGAACACTCATAATATCCCAAATTCCTGTGCAGCTAACAAGCGGAACATATGCATGCAAATAGAGTCCTGCAATGTAACACAGCAATTAAAGGGTTTTTAAAGTGCTTAACTGAAGTTAAAACTGACATTATTAACTGATCCAGCTCAGGGCTCCTCAGCAGCATGGATAAAATTAAATTATCCTGCTACAACTCTAAGATAATATACATCAAGCTCTGCAAAATTAAAAAAAAAAAAAAAACTGGACTAAGAAAACACTGCAAAGGGTACAGATGATGCCAGACCAAGTTTCAGTTATTTACAAAGGAAAACCCATAATTTTTTTTTCCTATACGGCCCCAAAAAGAGACACAATCAGCTTGCTTAGAAAGCAACTGGTTTGCTTAAGGAACTCTGTGATGAGTTACCTTGAACACAAACCCAAAATTTTCCCAAGAAACTCAGGTCTGAAGAGTTCTGGGAGCTTACTATGTTTTGTGCAGTTAATATCCTACCACTGTTCAATGAACACTAGTGTTAAATCAGAAACACCAGTCCCAACCAGAAGGATCAGAGACGGCTAAACAAGATTGCACTGAGGAGGAACAGACATCCAGCAGTGCATTACAGCCATAGTTATAAGCTTCAGTAAGTGCAGCTCCCTTCAGTACCATTATGTTTACACAGCATTAAGTATGGCTTAATTAAGAAACTTTTAATAAAAGCCTGGACTTAGCTAAATCAGTTAGTGTAGCAATATAGATTTGTTAAAAATAAAGAGGTCAGTGCAAAGTTCTTAAAAAAATCTTAAGCTTACCAAGCAAATTGTGTAGCAACAAGTCAAAGCTTCCCTCTAGTACCAGGGCATGCTTTAGTTCTGTTACTACTCAGCTGAAAGTAAACATGGTAGTATCGTGCCTCTTTATAAACAGAGAATGTATCTCTGCCTACTTAGTCCTAATTATACTGCTGAGGACAAAACAGACTAGAAACAGATGTCCTCTGACAATTTCCAGGACCAAATAAAGTCAAGAAAATCTTTTCCTCCAGCGCTTACTTTCAGGAGGCTAAACACATTCTCCTGTCCTTTCTATTCATACTAGAGGTAGTCTGTCAAAATATCCCCTGTTAGCCCATTCAGAAGCACTGTTACGTAGGGAAAGGGCATACTTTGTTTGTTTAAAAACTAGAGCCGCTTTGAAAAGTCTTTGACACTAAGAAATCTGAGCATGCCAGTTGTACACCAGTATTAACAAAAGTACAACTTACTGATCTGATCTTTCACACATCCATTGGCTTCTGATATGTAGCACTCTTTGTATTTTCAGTTATAACTAACAAAGTGTAAAAGGGCTCTGCCAAAAGTTCTAACTATCCTACGTATTCAACAGAAGACAGGGAAAAGCAGTCCCACAGGATTTGTTACCATCAGTAACATTTGTAAGTTAAACGGCTTTACTTTATAACCTTCAAATTGCGTTTGCATTGTTTGATACGCTAAGAAGAAAAAGAAAATCCTACACCGTACACTGAGAAATAAACCTTAAGATGCCTTCCCCCATCCCGGGTCACTTTGGAGCTGCGCTGCTATTTTGCAACACTTTTCGCAACACCTTAAACTTCAATAAGCCTCGATGTTTACCCAAGAACTCGCCCGAATCACCTCTGACTCAACAGCATCTCCAGAAGCGGGACATGCCTAGAGCACGGAACACCGTCACTCACACACTCACCCACTGGCTGCTGAAGTAGTCGAGCCCCTGGCAGATGATGCGGGCGGCCTGTGCCAGCAGCACCTGCACGCCCAGGGAGCTGCCCAGGCAGTAGAGCCCGTAGAGCAGCGGCCCCCCGGCGCCCAGCAGCAGCAGGAGCCGCCGCCGCCGCAGCACCTGCTCGCCCAGCGCCTCCACGCCGTAGTTGGCGAAGCAGATGGGCAGCAGGAGGGCGGCCAGCAGCACCGGGGTGCGGGAGCGGTGCAGGCGGCCCAGCCAGCGCCGCCCCAGCGCCGTCAGCGAGGTCTTGAAGGGGTGCAGGAAGGTTCCGCAGAGCACGGCCCAGAGCAGCGGCCGCAGGAACGCCTCCAGGATGAAGTACACGAGAACGGCGGCGCCGCAACACAGCCCCGCGAACAGCAGCGCGCCGGTGTTGTAGAAGGCCTGCTTGATCGGCTTCTCCAGCCGCGGCAGCGACATTCCCGCCGCCCCGCCCTGGCCGCCCAGCGGCAGCCGCGGCATGGCCGCGCCCGCGCCGGGGGAGCCGCCCGCCCGCCGCTCCCGCACCGGCGAGCCCGGAGGGGCCGCGGCGGGACCCGCGTCCGCGGCGGGAGCGGCGGCGGGCTCTGCGCTGTCAGCCATGGCGGGCACGGGCACGGCGGCCGCCGGCGGGCGCGGAGCGCGGCCGGGAGCGGCCGGGCGGTCGTGCCCGAGGGCGCGCAGGGGCCCCGGGCTGTAGTGCCGCCGCCGCCTCGCGGCTCCGGGCGTGCGCCCAGCCGGGCGGGAAAGGGGCGGCGCCGGCCGGGAAGCGAGCTGGGAAATGTAGTTCTGCTCCGGGAGGGCGGCGGCCGCGCTCCCGCTGCCCGGCAGGACCGGCGGGGCTGTGGGGGGGCCCTGAGCCTCCCCGGGCCCCGCCGCGCCTGCACTGCGCCTTCGTGGCGTCCGCTGCAGAACGCGGCCAAAGGCTGGGCGTGGAGGAGCCCAGCCTCATCCCCATCCCAGACGTGCAGCCCCGTCCTCCTTCGCTCAACCCTCTCCTCTCCCTGCTGCTGCTCTAGTCTCGGGGAGCGGAGCAAATTCGGAGATCTGCAGTGTCATTGCATGGTGGAGAGCAAGACTGGTTAGACCAGCTGGAGAATTTTGTGTCGTCTGAACATGTTCTGGCAACAAGTTGTTTAACAAGGAAGCATCTGCTCTTTTACTGGCAGTCAGGCCCACTGAAGAAGCAGTTGTGCTGTGTGGGTTTTTAGACCTGCCATTTATGACACTGTACCATCAAATGCTATTTGCAAATAATCTAGAGAGGAGCTAATTCCTGCAGCTGGCATACACCAAATGCCCGAGTGCAAGCATGAAGGCAACTGCTAACATTTTGCAGGTGATCTAAATACATCTGTAATAAATACACATGGTCTGAGCAAGTTTTTCAAAGGCCAAAATCCATGGCATTTGAATTAGCCTCAGTGCTGGCACTGTGCTACTCGGTTTTCCTTCCATGGCTGAAGACAAGCCTTCAGAAGGTACTAAAGCTATCTGTAATGCTGCCATGAACATATAAAAAGTGCACAGATATAAAATAAAGAGGAAAAAAAAACCCTGTATTTTTTAGCATGTACATGCAAGTTTATATAACTTCATGTGTAGATTGGAGTCCATGAGGACTTTAGTGGAGCATTTCTTGCATGACAGATGTAAAAAAGCTGAAATTATCCTGAGCACAATTGTCTTTAACTTGTAAAGTGGGAATTCTATGCCTAGTCATACCTAGCTTTTAAACGTAGAGCAATACCAAGACAATGGCTAGATGTGACCTATTCCTATCATAATATCAAGGTAAAAGGTAGAGGTTTTCCCACAGCAGTGCTTCCTGTGACTGTGTTGCCTCCTGAAACCATAGATGGGGCTGGGCCCAAGCCAGTTTTTGAGGTTTGGCACTGCAGTCTTGGCTTGTCCCTGCAAAGCCTTTGCTGCCAGTCACACAGAAGTTCACACTTGTAAGGGTTCTTCTGAGCTCCTGCAGCTCCTCGTTTTTCCCTTTGCTGAATAGATCATGTGTAGGTTCAACAAAGTACTTTAATTTTATGCCATAAAAGCTCTTACAAACCTACAGGCATTTTGTTTGATCCTGATCAGGCATTATAAGCAGCTGTCCATACAAGAAGCTTTTATTGAACCTTAAACTGATACTGTCACTCACACCTCTTTAATCAGATAGATCTGCCTCCTGGCAGGGTGCTGAAATAGGTAGCAAGAATGCATCATTACCTGAACTTTTCTCTTTAGTTCAGAAGCCAAACTCTAATTGCTTATTACAATACCTTTATTGCATTAAAGTTCAATTAGCAAGTGTCAATTAAGATTTACACAGGGGAAGAGCGGAGAGTTCTAATCCTTCTGCTAGCTAAACAGAGATACCAGCAAATCAAATCTTGTTAGGCACATCCTTATTCCTTTGATTTTTCGTAAGAGTCTCAGTCAGCCATGTTCTGCAGGAACAGAAATTAATGCCACCTCCTTGACTTGAGTGAAGCTATAAATATTGTTTTACATAAGCCAAGGATCTGGTCCCTACTGTTTAAGACCTTTCCTTTCCAATTATCTTTTTCACCCTCCATTATAAACAACTAAACATATTAGAAAGGGGGGGGGGAAACCCAATAATGCAATAAAATAAAGATTTCTAATTTATATATCACCACAACAGGATCACTTAAGAACAGGGACATGACCCATAAGCATCAGAAAACAATCTCTGAATCTTTGACAACTGAGGGGAGGATGTGTGATCTTCACAAGACACACCCCAGCACCTAAAGCTTAACTCCACAACAGATTTCAAATAGCAACTTAACAGGCTCCTACACTGCCAGAAATTCTACAACGATTTCTTTTATTGTATTTTTCCTGTTTGGAATTCAAGGGTGAAAAGGGCAGCAAAAGAATGCTTTCACTTCAGTGGAGAAAATACGTATGCACCTAAAAGCACATGTGATGAGTACTGACAGTCTTTGGTGCTCTCCTATGTAGAGGGAAGTATAAAAATCAGGTATTAATTAGTAAACAAGAAACTTGTAACTTCTGTTTCTGTACTAGCACCCATGATTTTGTGCTCTGAACTGACACCTTTCAAGTCCTGTTCAAGAGGTCAGAGACACCTCTAGCTCTTTATTCACTCGATGTGCAAGTCAACACAGACCAAAGTTCCAAGCTATCTTACACATGATACCAAAATGAGGTGGCCACAAAGCAAAGGAGATAGACAATGCCAACAACTGCAAGTTAATCATTATTTACAGCCAAAGCTATGAAATAAGTCAGGAACAAAGCCACAAGGTGTCAGTACTGGCCTGTGTATAGAAAATAACTCTCCCTGCATGAAAGAGTTTATTTGTTTGAACCTGTTACCGAACATTTGTGAACATTCAGTTGAGGTTAACCTCATTTCATAAATGCACCCCAGTTTGATGACAAAGTAATACCATCTTCAGATCAATGAAAAATACTTAATGCAAATTATTATAGTTTCACTAGAACCAGAGGCAAAGAAAAAAAAGTTGAAGTCAATGATTTTAAGATACAAACTTTGCATCTTTTGGTCATCTGCATATACCTTTGCATTTTGGGCTAATGAAAAAATTATTCTTTTATCCAGATCAACTGCTAAGATGAGAAAGCTCCAAATTAAATGTAATTTACAAAATATTGGTGAAAATAAAATGAAAACCGATCCTTGGGAACACCATGTCTGATTGCACCCAGTAATTACAGCCTAACTTTATTGCAGAAACAACTTTGTTCAACATCTCAGCTAAAGTGTACAAAATTATCAGCAGAGTGACTCTTGAATGATTCACACAGAAGACTGTGAATCTTGTTCAGTTAACAAGGGAAATGAAATGCATGGCTGTAAGGCAGAGTAGTCAATAGCACTGACACAAAAATGTTCAATCACTGGAAAAAGCATGCAAAACAGCACCAGTGGATGGACAAAATCCAGAGCACTATCTTTCATGGTTATCCCACGTGATAGCTGTGTGCACAGAACAACAGCTGGATATACAGAGGTCTGAATAACAGAATAATGTTTGCAATTCATCGTGTTTGTGACAAATTCCTCACCAGTCTGTCAGCAGTCACATAATGCAAGACAAACAGAATATAATTTAAAACTATTTGATATATATAATGCCTCTACTGATCATGATGGCTTGGACAGTGCACAAGTAGCTGACACACGCAAGATCCATCCTTTTTGCAGCCTGTAGCTACAGGATTGCAATAATACTACAAACACAACAAACGGTGTAAAAGCAATACATTTCTTGTTGCCCTGAGCCAACTTTTCTTCCCAGTGCAACAGTAAGGAGGAGTAAGGAGCTAAAATACCTGCTCAAACCTGAGAGATCTTAGAAATTGAAGCATCCCTGTTTGAGAGACTTCTACAGCTGCTTTTGCTTACTGAGTATCATGGCACTTCCTCCCCTCTGTTGCCAATTTCTAAGATAGTTTAATTTTCTTCTTTTCTGCAAAAGCCTGTCCTGGGTGCTTCAGAAGCCATTCTGGCCAAGGAACAGGGCAGTGATGACAGCAGATAAAGAACACCAAATTTATAATATTGCAACTTGATCATATTTGTATCAAATAGTTACATGAACACAGCACAGATGTCACCAGAGGAACCTCTAAATTTCACATACTTACAGCAATTGACAATGTGGTTAATACTTTGCTAAAATAGAAATGATCACATTTACTTACAGCTTCATTGTGATTCACATAGTGGAAAAAAGAAAAAAAGGCAGTCTTCTAACATCTGTTAATTCGCTAATGACCAGCCTCATTGACTTAAATGGAATTAGTCAGGCTAATAAATTCAAGACCATGGCACAGGAAGGAATTATTAACATAGGCAGCATAGAGACTTCTTTAACCTCATGGAAACTTTTTTCCCCCCTTTATAAATGCCATGCAACACATTTTCTTAGACTAAAAAGGCATTTATTGCAACAGTTTTATAAATATCATTGTCTGTCACTGTCAGATAGTTAACAAGGCTCACTTGAACACCAACATTTAGTATAAAACAGATATTACAAAGCAACACTTTAGGGCATGCACTGATTGTAAAGTAGTCCCATAGGTCACTGTAATTTCATTATCTATTCATTCAGTGTTATTTTTGCTCAAAAGACTAGAACACAAAGAAGTTTGGCAAATTCTTCTGGACTACAAAACCTCCATTCTGCACTCCTATCCAACCAAATGCTCATTGACTTGACATGGCTGCTGGGTATTGGCATACAGAATGAAGCCTGGCATAGAGAATGCAGAACACTACTTAACACCATAGTTAGAAGTCTCTTATTTGTATGTTTTATCTGTATATTAGTCTTGACAAAGAACTGAATAAAGTAAAAAGGTAGAGATGGCATTTTGGGTTCAACCGTTATACTTCATGTAATAAGAAACAAGTGGCAAGAGTTCACACAATTATGACAGACTACTTATTTGCAAAGAGGTTAAAGCAAACCAGATCTCAGGATATATACATCAGAAATACCAAGACACATCAGGCATCAGTTATAACCTAAATGGAACTCAACATGCTAAAAAATATATCTGCCTAAATAAAAGCTGGGAACATCACATACAAATGTCAAGGTCCCACTATTGCATTTTTATAATGAGTTAATAGGTTTGAAATTTCATCTTTGAATCTCTTTGTCAAGACTTAAATCATAATTCCAGCTTTAAAAATTCTATTGTGGTAGTTTTTTATATTTCCATATTTGTCATTTGTTTCATATCACCAAAGGTAAAAAATTGAAAAAGAACCCATTGCTTTCTATGTGAGGAGTCAACTATTTCAGAAGCAGATACCATATTCTGGAGTTAAATAAGATTTTTCTTCCTCCTAGGTTTAACTGTGACATCTGTTCTTCCTTTCCTATTACCCTAATACTCTATATGACAGCATTCTTTTGACTTATTGAACTTATTCTTGTTACAGCTTGTATGAAAAAAAGTGAAAAAAAGACTGTAATACATCTAAGACTGTGAGGCTAATTTTTGTATTGAAGAAAGAAGGTATGTATATAACAATTGCAAACATGTAATATCCCCACACATGTAATATCTCAGGTTTATATATTTTCTTCCTCAATCATTCTGTCTCCCCAAAATCAGCTAGGAGTCAGGGAGGTGTAAGGTTCTGTGTTTTGTCTTGTCTCCAGAGCAGAATTTAGCCTATCTTGTATAATTCTCAGACTTTACATGCATGCACAAATACCTTCAGCTAAATCACATTGCCTAAACATTAATTCTGTGAATAATGCATTTCATTATCTAAACCTTACAGATCACTGTTGTGAAAAAACAGCAGGAATATTTTTATTCCTTTGCACAAAACCTAATAGAATTTTTCATTTATTTACTTCTAACAATACCACCATAGCAAATGAAACTCAATGTCAAAACTAAGAGAGATATGAAGCTAAATCACAAGTTACCATAAAATGTTCACATCCCTGAGTAAGCATTGGAGCCATAATAGATTTGCAGCTGCTCAGCACTTCTGAAAAATCCAATTACTTCTTCAAAAATGCAAATATTAATTTAAGAATCATTTAGAAATAGCTCAGAAAAGTACTGGTAATTTTATAATGCTCTAGTCTATAAAGAGTAAAACACCTTTATAGAAAACGTCTTAAGAATGCACATGAAAGTTCATATTGTAAGGACATTCCTAATTAGCCTTTAATTGCAGATCAGAACGAGCCTATGTGGTGCAGCAGCTGTTCTAAGATACAGGATGTGAAGTCCTGCACTTATTCCAACCTCAGATTGGTTTGGAAGAACATTGCTACTTAGCTAAGAAACACAGAGAAAGGTCAAAAGCAACAGTTGTGAATTACTATGGAACCATGTCAGGGGAAGTTCAGATGGACCTTAGGAAAAGATTCTTCTCTAAGAGGGTGCCCAGTCACTGGAACAGGGAAGTTCAAGGAGCATCTGGATGATGCTCTGAGTCATGTGGGTTAGTTTTAGGCAGTCCTGTGAGGAGCACGGTGGGTTTTGGGCTCTAAGATCCATATGGATTTCTTCCAACTTGAGATAGTCTAGAATTCATAGACTATCACAGTAATCCAAGGGAAAAAAAATCTGTCCCTTTCTTTACAGCATATTCATTGCTACTGCCAAGTTATAACATTGACTTTCAAAGCAAGTAATATCTTTTAAGTCTGCATTTTCACACCTATCAAATCCATAAGCTGCACACATCCTCTCTGACATTTCAAAATTGCACTGCTTTTGCCTCACTATCTGAGCCCAAATTAGGCAAGTTAAGTAACCATGTTTAAGCATATATAATTTTATCAAACCTACTGTGAAAATTGAAAAAAGTTACCAAAGTGATTTCTTCACATTAATAAAAATTGTTTAGAAAAGGAAGCTTACCTAAATCTAACTAAGTATTTGCAAAAATCAGATACCTCAACATAAAAACTGCATATAAATAACCAGATAAAGAAAAAAATGTAAAAAGCTGGAATATGGTTAAAAAATTATTTATTAATTTTTGTGCACAAGGACTTGACATTTTCTTTATAAATCTTCCTGTTAAGATCCATCTCTGTCCTGGGCAGGTTGAGGAAAAGCTGCCCAAAGAGACTGCTACAGAAATACTGAGAATTAAATTTTAATTGGAGGACCTAATGTACAAAGCTGTTAAGATTTAGAGCCCACAGCTTTTGATTCTGAGACTGCAGCCAGCAGGGAGTACCTGCTCACTGACGATTCTACCAACTGAGCAGGTACTCCCTGCTGCAGTATTGCCTCTGGGGTCTTGCTGGGTTTTTGTACCTCTGAAGGCCAGATCAAGCCTCCAACTCTTAACTTGGGGCTTGACAGCAGAGGACATCTTGTGCCATGGTCTTACCTGATGCCCACATCTGCCCTTAAACAGCTGGGACCTGCCTAAAGGCAAAAATATCTTTGAAGTCAGTCTCTATTCCTTCCTAACCCTATATCAAGTAATATTTGCTTGGATAAAGAGTGCCAGACAGGCACTGCCACATGTAAATTTATACAAAAATAGGAAGTATGCCAAAACCATTCCGTTCCCTTTCCCTGTTATTTGTCCTTACTACTGGTCTCTCCATTCCTCTGTTCCAAACTGTTTGGAGTCACCAACAGCTCACTGTGTAGCATCCAAGCAAACTGCTTTGCCAGTTTCATTACATGGGGTTGAAAAGGATCACATCAATTCATGTAAGCTATGCACGTCCATAGCTCCATGAAGCACTGAAACACTGTAATATTTAAAAGTATTTCTTATCCTATCATAAATCTAAGGCTCTATGCAAAGTCATCATTTGTATAAAGCACTAACAGAATAGTTACTTATGAAAATAACTGGTATTAGGCCTTTTGTAATTCTCTGAAATACATATTTCCTTCTTGTTATGTCTATTATCAAATACTTTACATTGGGGAAATTATTTGGAGCTGCTAAAACAAAAGGAGGGTGGGGAGAAGTACACCTGCTACACCAAGTGTGCCAAATCAATGAAACCACAGAGTCACAAAATGCCATTTAAATGCTATTAAAGTTATATAACTTGCATATAAACTTTAATTCTGCCTCTGGAGTACTGAAGAGTGCGAATTTCCAACAGACACAGAAAATACCTGAAAGACCAGACAGAGGAGCTACCCTTTAAAACAGGAATAATTTTCTTTTTTACAAATGTCTCATGCATTGGAGGGATGAGAAAGGAGAAGGAAAAAAAAAAAGAAAAGGAAGACCTGTGTCTTCCCTTAAACTTATAGCAGTTGTATTAGTTATAGCAGTAACTAAGAAATAACTGTGCAGCTGTTTAGTACACAGAGGCAGTTACAGGGCTCTTTTGTTGGTTCAGACCCAGGATATGGTGCCCCAAGTGAGCTTCAAGACCACTGCCTGGATGCCATGCTGATGTACGCCACACCCCAGTCATTCTTCAATCCCTGTACTGAAGATTGGGAAAGTCAGTGCCAAACACAGCTTTAACATCATTTAAGCCAAACTGGGGGTTTCTTCAAATTAGGGAGTCCACAAGTGTTATTTTCTTACTATCCAAGTAGTGCAAAACCCATCAAGACAAAGAAGGCCACAGAGGGAGTTCAAACTTTTCTCAACAATATGTTCTCTTTCAAAAACAGAATACTTCACTTGTAATAATAGAAGGCATTATCACCAGTTATCCAATGACATAACCAAATCAGGTGGTTTTGGGTTTTTTTTGAGGGGGGAAACAAATTAGCATCTCACCTCTACCTAAAATAACCCAGTTATTTGATACCAGTAATAGGAAAAAAAAAATTAAAAAAAAAAAATCCTTTCTAATTAGTAACCACAGTCAAATTTCCATACACAATATTCTAAATATGCCCTCTTTAAACTCAATGCCTCTCTATGAAGTCATTGTACAGAAAGAAATTCTTAAAATTAAAGCACTTAGGAAATGTGTTCCTTAATAGTTGTTTGGTAGTAATCACACTACAGAAACAAAAAATTACTTGGAGAGGGAAATATCTGCCTCCTTTTCCAAAGCACACCTTTTCTTCTAGTTTGTGTTAGTACCAGTCAGTTAGAAAAAATAATAAACAAAAAATATTTGAAATGCCATAATCAAAAATTACTTTGAAGTCTGTTACTTTATAGTAACTTTGTGTAACAGGGATAAATCTTGCTTTTCAGTATTAAAAAGAAAAACAAGAAGACAACATGTGAAAACAAAAATAGTCTCCATGAGAAGTTACTATGCCCACTCAAATATTAAGACTTACCAAGTATTGTACAAACTTACATACCATGTTTCCCTTGTAACCTTTCTCTCCTCAGATTTCATCCCAAATACCAACTTCTAGATACTCATACCTTCATTGTTTGTCAACTTGAATTCCACAGTCCTGACTTTCCCACTGTGAAGAGGAACTCTTAGATAAACTCAGAGCTAAACTCAACCATCCATTTCGATGCCAGATAATAGGTTGTTTTGCTGCTTCTTGTGGCCTTTTATGTCATCCCTTTGATTAGAAACACTTTATTAGGCTAATTAAGTACTGTGAAGCTTAGTTGAAAGATTTTTTAGAAGTGCACATTTCTGCTAGTACTTCAACAAGAGAAAAATACAACAAAAACACAGCACACTGACAAGTAATCTGACAAAGTAATAAAAAATAATGTAAAATACTTTGCTCTTGCTTCAAATCCTGAACTTTAACCACATCTGACTCCTTATACATTGAAAGCAGATTGACAGTTGTCACACAATTTTACCTTGATATTATTATTGTCATCTATAACATACCTGCATGCTCAGGTCCAACCAGCCTATCCTAAATCCAGAGCTCTATTAAAGAAGAAAAGAGAAGCCAAACTGGCAAGTTCAGTACCTTTAAATAATTATATTAGCCCTTTAGTGGGTAATAAGTAAATGGCTGAAACAGTAAAAACCAAGCCATAAACTAAAGCAACCCTCAGGCTTTGAGAAAGAACTGCAATATCTCAGCTGCCTGAAAGAATTTACCCTAATGATTTCTTCACTTCACCTGTTTGCTGAATGTAAAGCTCATTATCCAGGCTTCTTCTTATCTGCTCCAGCCAAACTTAAGGCTAAATTACACAGCTGTTGTGGGCCAAAGCAGACCTTATTAGGTGGTCTCTACTTGATCAGATGATGAGTAAGTTAACCAACCTGAGAGAAGTAATTTACACTAAATAAAGCTTCTGTATGCACTTTAGAAGTTCACTTATGAATTTCTCTTCCCTTTCCTGAACTCTAGTCCAGTAATTTTAAGTGAACAAATCCTTAAAGACATCAGTGAAAATATAAAATATTAATCAATTTTTTTGAAATAGGGATAAAGTGTTTGTATGAAGATAAGTTCATCTTCAATCTAATTAATATACCTTAAGCATAAGTTTGAAGAATTCTAAGTCTAAAAAAACTTAAGTCTACAGACATCAATCTGTGAATAATGATGCAAACCCAACCAGGCTAATTAATCATTTTATACTCCATGCAGCAATGAGAATAGAAAGAAGTTACATTACATATACTTTACCAGATTCTATGCTAGGAAGTCCTCAAGTGTATCACATTAGATAAAACTTTGGCACTCCTTATATTTTAATTCTACTTAAGTAGAATTTTAGTATAAGTTGGAAAGTGAATGAGTAACCTTACCTAAATACATTTGACTGCTACATGTAAACACGTCATACACTTCCTGTTATGTGAAGAACAGAAATTCTTCACTCCAAGTTTTTATTATAGTCTCTGGCTCAGAAATGCATTTTGACTTTTCATCTCTGTAATATTTAGCATTCTTCTTGTACTATTTATTGGTGATAAAAACAGCAAATGTATTTATTTTTTAGTTCATCTTTTTTTACAATACCTATATTTTAGCAGTGATTTGATGAACAAAAGATACTGAAGATACTGCTGTTCTTATTAATCCCTGTCTTTCCTTACAAGTAATCTCATTTATATGTCTTTGTAAGATAACACCAGCTGCCCATAGTCACCCTTAACATGAACAGGATTTAGTGGCATACAACACAGAAGAAGAGATTACTTCATACTACTGCACAATTACGTAAAAATATATTTACATGACAGCAATTTTTTTTCCTTAAAAAGAGAAAAATTGATTTAATCTCTTAGGAGGACATCCTATGGCTTATTGGGAACTTTAATGTTCTGCATGTTTTACACACGGTTTTCCTATGTATGGAGAATTTATATTGCTGTATTCTCCCTTCCCCTTGTTTAAATAACTTTATACCTCACTCTTTAAAGAGGTAGGTATTTCTTTCAAAAAGGCTATTGAAACATAATAAAGATATTCATCACCTCCTTCTGTTGAAAAAAAAAATCATGCTAATGCTTGAATATGCAAATTTAGTTTTGGAAAGTACTAGAGCAAGTACACTTTGATAAATATTAAAAAAAAAAAAAAAAGAAATTGGGAGAACTATCCACTACTGAAGGACAGGTTTTATCCTGCTCTGCTGGTTTCCAGATCTTAAGATTAGAAACTGCACTTGGAGATGTGCCCTCCACTCTAGAAGTACCAAACAGCTTTGCAGTGTTTTCCCAAATTTGCTTTTTTGTAGCAATATGGAGGGCAAGTTTGTTATTTGATAAGATGTCCATCACTAAATTCACCTAAACACACATACAGGCATCCCTCCCAAACACACACACACACGCACACACACACGCACACACAGACAGACATAGATTTTACAAAAGTCTCATTTTTTCTCAAGCAAGTAATCACAACACTGAAAATATTCTCCTATGTGTTCACTGATTTTCTTAAATGATTTGTCACCACTCTGCCACTCAAGGAAGATGGTTATTTCACTCGTCTGAGAAGCTATGTTCAAAAGCAGCTAGATGAGGATGGTGATGTGATATAAATTCCAAAAGAAAAATGCATTGTCTATCCATATTGCCGTCCATCCTGAGAAACTTCCACTGCCAAATTCTTGCTATTTTCCATTGGTCATGGGGTTCCCATCAATAAATAGAAGGTCAGTGCAACAATGAGGAGCAAGCAGAATGGAGAAGAGAAGGTCTGATAGGCAGCTGATGGCATGAAAATATCTTCATACTTGTAAATACTGACAACACGCTCTGACACAGGTGGAGAGTCGATATCATGACGAGTTATAGAACCTTTAACAGGTAAGGACAGAAAGAAATAACGTCAGATGCAATTTCTTCTATAACTCTACCGAAGGAACAGGTAGGAAGACACGCAATTTTCAAACCTATGGAGGCATGCCATGTTACACTGTCAGGGAGTAGGCTCATTTCTTTTGCTTTCTGAAATGAAATTTCTGAATAAAACAAATTAAATTCAATTAAACAACAAACATCCTTCAAACAAATTAAGAACTTTTAGTTATGAAGTTCTTCTAAATTCAGATTTAGGAAGTGAGGATAGTAGAGATATAGCCAAGAAAACAAGACACATTGGATTCCTGTCTTTTTTTTTTATCCATTGCTAAGCCTCATGCTGCCAAAATTTTAGTTAATAAAAAAAAAAAAAAAAAGGCGGGGGGTGGGGAGAGAGGGTGTGTCTAGTAAGAATAATGTAATTGAAAGACATTTATCAATTTTGGCACATCAACTCAGCTGGTGAGATCAACTTACCCTGGATTGCTGGACCCCAAGCAAACAGGTAGTACCAACTCAAGTGCAAATCTACGATGGTTTCTTCTCGGGGAACATAGACTGGACGCTTGAATCGACACGTTACACGATTGTTTTCAAAAACCCCTTCCTCATCTCTAGCAGGATTTCTCTGGATTTCTTTAGCCCACTGCCCAACATTATAGAAGTGCTGTATTCGAACTCTTCCGTTATCATCATGAACACAAGCCATAACATCATCTCCTCCCTACAAGGTTAAAAAAAATTTGAAGATGGAAAACAAAAGGGTCATAAAACACTTCCTCATTTATGTATATAATTTTAATTATTCAAAGCTGATCAAGACCTCTTGAATAGCTTTCCTTCTTTCCAAGTTATATATGCACAAATAACCAGATGTCTTCAGTAAGATTAAAAAGCAGGTTAAGTGCATAGCAAGTTACATACCCTTCCTATCTTTGAATTCTCTTTTGGATTTTCTTAAGAGTTATTTTACCTAACATATATTTGTAGGATATGGTATCACTCTGACATCACATAATTGATTGATCTGTGGAATGCTGTTTTCTTTAGTTATTTGTGAAGTTCTGGCATACTGCTTCATAAAATGGTGCAGTCTTGAGTCCCTGATGTGTACAAAATCCACTGCATCAAATCATGGACAGAAAACCAATATACTTTAGTGAGACAGAGGAAACAAACCTACTACATACGGGAAAATAATAGCATTGATTACAGTAAGTAATTTCTAATGTCTTCTCATAATTTCTCAGAGAACATAATTTCTCAAATCTCTTATTTCTTATTAGAAATGTAGTAATAACAGAATACAGTATATCACAAGATACAAAGAAAAAAAGTAATCAATATGTGCCTCTTCAGTTAGCATAAACAGCCACCAAAGAACCAAGAGAAAGAAGAAAGAAGGAGCCACTTATTTGTAAAGGTCATTCATTGAAATACTAAAGCACTCAAGGTGACTGACAGAGTGGTAGAGCACAGGGATGAGCATGAACTTCAGGAGTACTATCTCATAGAAGCCTTAGCACCAAGAGCCATTAGAACACTATCCAAGCTGGATGAGTGCCACAGCTATCAGTGCTACATTAAACATAGGCCCTACTCCTCCCATATCTTTCTGATATGTCGTACTGATGAAAGACATGATGCTTTCTAGTGTGATCATCCCTCAGTTCTTTAGTACAGGGAAAAGAGAGGAAAAGAGCATATTTCAGCACTATGGGAATATTGCAATGTGCATTTGTAAAAGATGTGCTGAAAGTGAGTGGAAAGAGGGGACAATTAGGTAAAACACATGCTTGAACAGTTTTTGTACCTTGGTGCTGCTGCAGACCTTTCCAGCCTCTGTTGTGAGATTATCATTGCTCTCCATAACTTATTTCCCAAGTTTACCTTTTATATATCTAAGCAAAAATCCCTCATTCTTAAGTACAAAGAGGCAAAAATAAAGGTGTTTTTATACCAAAGGGAAAAAAACTAAAAAGGAAAGAAAAAAGCATTTTGAATCTCAGTTAATGGAATGACATTTCAAAATCCTGCCAAGGCACAAAAGCCTGAAAGTGGAAAAGCATAATGTTATTTGAGACAAAAAAATAGGTCATAGGACTTTAAAAAAATCTATTGAGGACACAAAGTAGATTTTTTTTCCTTAATTTCTGAAGCTATCCAGGTCACACCATTTTCATTAGGACCTCTAAAGCACAGCCCATTTCTCAGAGCTAAGTTGTTTTGACCCAGAGCCATTTTATCATCTAAGCCTGGGCATCCCAGGACACCAAAATATCCTGAAAGTTAACAAAAAGATGAAGTCAGCAGGAGAGCCAGAGAGGAAGAGAGATGCTAGCTGGTTTAGCCCAGCTGACTTATGGGCTTTTACTTTACACTTCCTTGCCACACTTCCTTCCACAGCTGACTTTTACATTACACTTCCTTTATTCTTTTTACCGGAAACCAAAACTTAACCTGCTGCTTGCTGTGCCTGCTTTACAAGTGGCTGATGAGAGGAGGGCAGTGGGATCCTGGGGTCCACTGCAGGTACCTCAGAGGTACAAACTGGTAACACAATCTGATATCTTGGGGAAAAATACTTAAAGGTGCTGAGCTGCTTTGAAAACCCTGCCAAGTACCTGCATTGATGGGCAAGCTTCTAAACTCTTCCCAAAATTTGGCTATAAAGCCAAATTGTTCTTTACATAAAAACCACAAACTATTTCTTGTGATGTGAACTTTATGACACAAAAACCTTCTAACATCATTGTGTTTATTTACAGTGTCATATTAAAACATATGTAGTAATGACTGAGAAGCACTTGTCCACACATTTTCTTCCTATTTCTCATTTTGGGTCAAATGATGCCTTAAGTTTTAGCTTTCATATTTTACAGCTTCTGTACTGCATTAGAATATAAAACTGAACTACATATAAAGTGTTAGCAAGTTCTCTTCACAGCTTAGTTAGACAAAACAATCTTTTTCCAGCTGAGAACCAAGGACACCGTTGCAGCTTTGGGCCCAAAAGGTGTAAACAACAGCGAATTGAGGAGAGCAATCTGGGAGGATGGTATTTCATAAAAATGCTGCTAAGTCAGTGTAAGTCTTCCAATTAATTTTTTGTGGGTCCTATTCCAAGACATCTAATTCCTGTATTTTTTCAGACTCCTACTTTCAACACTACCAAAAACAGTCCTTTCTTTGACTTGGGATTTAGGACATATGTTCAGTATTGCTCTATATACTCAGGAGAGTTTCTGTGCATGAACACCTACATCATAAATTGCATTTTTATCCTGGAAATTTTACCACAGATAACAGGCAAAACATAAGTCATCTATTGCCCACGTTTTTTGAAGTCCACACATTATATGTTTTATTTTGCTCGTTGAAAATGAAAAGTGGAGCTTTTGAATTAAAAAGTACAGGAATAAGCACAAAACAGAACCCAATAACAATCCAAAGGAGAGAGAAGAAATTTTAAAAAGACTGCCTTCTTGAGTATGAATGTTTTAAGTTAGCAGGAGTCATTTTCTCATACATTTGTGGCTTCCCTGGAACAACACATAGGTATAAGAAAGAAACAAAAAAAATCCCAAGTTAAGCAGTGAAATAAAAATTTATACTGCTGAAAGTCAGCTGATTCTCTCAATAATAAAATTATTTGCTATTCAGTTTATGATGTGTTTTTTGCCCAAATTACACTGACATAAAGCGCAACAGGACATTTCCATGTGAATTGGCTTATCCCTGAGGGCTTTTCTAATAAAAAGGCAAAAAGCTAGTGACATTCCAACATTCAGAGCAGAACTGAAATACTGTTGTAGTTCTCAGAGAAGAAGGGAAAGGAGATGCTAGGAAGGATAAAGCAGTTTTCTGTGAGGCAGTGCTCCCAGGGGTGCTACTGAATGGTGCTTTGTTTTCAGCAAGCCAGTTTCACCTTATATGTTCTGTTTCTCACCGATCAAATATATAAATGTACATAAACCATTTATATCCTAGCATGTGGAAGTGTGTATATTGCCAACATGAAAAACTGTACATATCTTACCATTTTCTTGTCTGAGGAAAATCCCACTGCCACCCAGCCATCTGTGTCGGCACTCAACTCAAATTCAACATCAGCACCTATTCTACGGTAACTTAGAAAGTAGTCACAAGTCTCTGCATTGCATCCAGGTTTACCATACCTAAATGGAATTGGAAATATACATAACTTTTTCCTTGAAATCTCTTGCTACGAAAATTAATTCAGATTTTGCAAGAAAAAAAATAAAAGAATGTATTTTGGTATAATGGCAATAAAGCATATATTCTGCTGGACATATAGTTGCATTAATTGTTTGAAATTATTACTCTTTTACTGTATAGTATTCAAACAGTACACAAAATATTACTTTATTGACCTTCCTTGTGCTGTGTTTTAAGGGCTTCATGAAAATACAAGAAATAACTGTAGGTCTATAACTATGACATGTATTCTTAAATAGAGTCCTCAAATAATATAGCTGTATGTTTTTAAATAACAAAAATTTATTAAAATTACTATGAACAACTAACCAAAGTCTCCAATATCATCAGTCAGCATCTGTAAACATAAAGGTATTTGTACTCTTATCTCAGACTGACCTGAAGCATCCCTTGGTTTTTCCACAGTCATCCACTCTGATTTTTGCAAATGGGTCCACAGGAGGAGCAGTAGGGAAAGGGTAACCTGTATGATCAGAATAAACCATTACCAAATAAAATACAAGGACTAAAATCAATAATACTAAAGAGAAAATCTTCCAGTAGCATTTACTTTGCTGATAACTGAACTGTTCAGATGAGTGACTACTTTGTTATGTACAAAAACCACTGCTCAGATAATTCTGGATCCAGGTAACAAAGTAACATGACTAACTGAAAACAAAACTTTTCTAAGGTTTCCTACATTCATCAAGGAAGGAGAAGAATGCTGGAAGGCAAAAGTTAAATGTAAGGCAGCAGGACCATAGACTATTGCAACTAACAATTAGGGATCTCTGCTCAGCTCTCCTTGTGCACTCATAGTCCCCTCAGGAAATCCATAAGGGAACTGAGTCCTTAGCCATAAAAGACAGCATTAGGTATAAATGCAGGCAGGGTACCAGATGCAGAGCTATAGGAATTGATACTGAAAAGATATTATAATACATCCTCCTTTATGAAGTAAAATAAAACACACATTGCAGTAAAAGGTAAGAGAGCATCAGGGCAGGGAATGGCCTGCAGTTACGGCCTTCAATCAATTGTGAAGGCAGACATAGAAGAGCCGGGCAGTGAGAGTTATGATTCCAAGCTATCATGTCTGCTGGACTATAGCACCAAAGAAAAAGTGAGAAAGTTTACTAGCAGACCTATTCAGTCTTGGCTTGTGGGAGCCGGTGTCTGTTGCATAAGCACAGATATTTTAATAGGATGTTCTTTTACTTATCCAGATAAAAACCAAAGTGGGACTAGAAACTCTTCTGAACATGCTTCATTGAGTAGGAAAAGTGCTTCATTGAGTAGGAAATGAACACTGTAGTTAGTTACAGCACCAGCACACAAACTTTTGACCTACACAGCTTTGGGCATTTGGGAGCCCTGATTTACTTTCCTAGATCTCAGACAATGGAGAAAGCATGCTGCAAATCACAGTTACACTAACTCTATCAAGGGCAGGTAAATTACCCTGCATAAATAAGTCTGCAGAATTTCACAGCAGCATGTAGTGGTGCATTACTGAAGCACAGGTCACAGGACATGCAATTTTCTCACTCCTTACTTATTTTCAAATCCATTGAACAAATGGTTTTCCATGCAGCTTAGGCGCAAAAGTGGTTAACATTCCTCCATTTGTAAATTCAAAAAAAAAAACCCACCCCAAAACCCACGACCACGCTGCTTCTTGACACTTTAGGGCCTCAAACATCCTTTCGAAGCCCACACACCCCAGGACTCCTTTTTATGGTACCAGCCCGTAAAAAGGGGGAGAGTGCAAGAGGGGAAGGTGAGGGGTGGCCGGCTGGCCTCGCTCTGTGGGAAGGTGATCGCCCCCAACCCGAGCTCCGGCCCAGGGGCTGCCCGTGTGCGGGGCTGCCCGTGTGCGGGGCTGCCCGTGTCAGGAGCTGCCCGTGTCCAGAGCTGCCCGTGTGCGGGGCTGCCCGTGTCCGGAGCTGCCCGTGTCCAGAGCTGCCCGTGTGCGGGGCTGCCCGTGTCCGGAGCTGCCCGTGTGCGGGGCTGCCCGTGTTAGGAGCTGCCCGTGCCCAGGGCTGCCCATGTGCGGGGCTGCCCGTGTCAGGAGCTGCCCGTGTGCGGGGCTGCCCGTGTGCGGGGCTGCCCGTGTCAGGAGCTGCCCGTGTGCGGGGCTGCCCGTGTCAGGAGTTGCCCGTGTGCGGGGCTGCCCGTGTCAGGAGCTGCCCGTGTCCAGAGCTGCCCGTGTGCGGGGCTGCCCGTGTGCGGGGCTGCCCGTCTTAGGAGCTGCCCGTGCCCAGGGCTGCCCGTGTCCGGAGCTGCCCGTGTGCGGGGCTGCCCGTGTCAGGAGCTGCCCGTGTGCGGGGCTGCCCGTGTGCGGGGCTGCCCGTGTCCGGAGCTGCCCGTGTGCGGGGCTGCCCGTGTCAGGAGCTGCCCGTGTGCGGGGCTGCCCGTGTCAGGAGCTGCCCGTGTCAGGAGCTGCCCGTGTGCGGGGCTGCCCGTGTCCGGAGCTGCCCGTGTCCGGGACTGCCCGTGTGCGGGGCTGTCCGTGTGCGGGGCTGCCCGTGTGCGGGGCTGCCCGTGTGCGGGGCTGCCCGTGTCCGGGGCTGCCCGAGCGCGGGGCTGCCCGTGTGCGGGGCTGCCCGTGCGCGGGGCTGCCCGTGTGCGGGGCTGCCCGTGCCCGGGGCTGCCCGTGTGCGGGGCTGCCCGTGCCCGGGGCTGCCCGTGTGCGGGGCTACCCGTGTGCGGGGCTGCCCGTGTCCGGGGCTGCCCGTGTGCGGGGCTGCCCGTGCCCGGGGCTGCCCGTGCGCGGGGCTGCCCGTGTGCGGGGCTGCCCGTGTGCGGGGCTGCCCGTGCCCAGGGCTGCCCGTGTGCGGGGCTGCCCGTGTGCGGGGCTGCCCTTGGAGCGCGGCTCTGCGGAGAGCGGGCAGGGCACCCGGTCCCCCTGCGGCCCCGGCCCCGAGCGGCAGCGCCGGCTGAGGCGGCCGGGCCGGCGGAAGATGGCGGCGGGCGCTGGCCTTCGTGCTGAACCGCGCTGCCACCGCCTCCCGCCCGCCGCCCCGCGCCCGCCCGGCCCGGCCCGGCCCGGCCCGGCCCGCCGCTCCCTCCCGGCCCCGGCCGCGCCGGGCCCCTCGCCCGCCGCGCCCCCGCAGCCGCCGCCGCACCCTCCTCGGAGAGGTAGCGCAGGTCGTAGAACTCGCTGGCGAAGGTGCCGTACGAGGAGTCGTGGTGCCGCGCCGCCTCCTCGCCGTGCTCCCCGCCGCCCGCCTCCCGCCGCCCGCCGCCCTCCTCCGCCGGGCTGGCGGCGGAGCCGGCCAGGAGCAGCAGCAGCAGCAGCGGCAGCCGCCGCCGAGCGCCGCGGCTCCGCTCCGCCATGGCGGCGGCGGCGGGGCGGGGAGGCGGCGGCGCCCGAGCGCGGCGCCGCGGGGGAGCGGGGGCGGCGGCCGGGGGCATCCAGCCCCGGGAACGGGCGGATCCAGCCCCGGGAACGGGCGGTGCCGGAGGGCCAAGAGACGGCGTGGGAGGGTGTTGGGGGGAAAGGGGTCGGGGCGGCGTATGCGCGGGAGCGGGATGCCTTGGGAACGGGTTGCGTCGGGAGCGGGATGCGCCGGGAGCGGGATGCGTTGGGAACGGGATGCGGCCGGAGAGGGATTCGCCCGGAGAGGGATGCGCGGGCGGTCACAGGCACAGCACCGAGCCGTCCCCGCAGAGACCGCTGCCGACGGGTTGCGCGCTGGCCTTCCCTGGATCACTGATTTCCCGCATCCCACAGCGCGCCCCACCCAGCAGAAGCCCCGCCGCGGACACGTCTCTCACAGCCGGGCACAGCCGTCGAGAGGCTGTACCGAGCCATCCCTGGCTGCACCCGTGGCCTCGTTTCACTAAAGCCTCTTGGCATGTGCTTCAAGAGGACGTGATAAATCTCGCTCAGTAATTGCCGGGCAAACTTAGCTGTTTTAATGTTTTTTAAAATTTATTTTATTATTACTATTCTTTTTAATGGCTTCTGGGATGGGACTGGAGACACAGCGCGACTTAACATTGTTTTCAGGTAAAACCCCATGGTAGTGAGCGTTTGCTATCTGATTGCATGTTCTTGCTTTGTATTTTATACAATGTAAGTGCAGAAATACCAATATACTCCAAACCTGGCAGGACTGAAGGAAATCCCAGGTTGCCTTCAAAGTTGTCTTGGGCTCTGGTATCTGATGCTGGACTTGCAACTAGGAATTAAGCATACAACTGCATTCTTGCTGTGCTTTGGGATCCATGAGTTGATGGAGGAACCATGGCCTTTCATGCCTTGCATTACTTGGGTTTGGATTGCTGTCTTTTGGTTATAACTATAGTTTCATTTTTATATTATTATGCATAGTCACACTTCCTCCTCTGAGAGTCTGGAATAAAATTCTGGAAAACATCATGGAGGAGGGAGGGAGAAAGAAAAACACACAGCAGTCAGTAATATTCTGGAAATTAAAGTAACCCTCCATTTAAATATTTTCTTTTTTTAGTATCAGTGACTGTACTGAGTTACTTTTTGGTGGGGCACTGAGACTGCCCAAGACCTAGGCTGCATTAGGGATAAGTTCATTCCCGTGGGCTGAGCCGGTGGCTTGTCATACCAGAGTGTGTTCATCTGCATCATATGGAGGATGTTAATTCACATCTCCATGGTTTAGTCTGGTGGAGTAGCATGCTATTTCTTACTGCAAATAGGGGAATAGCCACACAGAAGGAAAAAATAAGTTGCAAAAAATAATACCAGTTGCATGTTCCACATTTTCCACAGCATATGGAAAAAGCTATAGGAAAGCAACAGCAAGCTCCACTGCAAAATGTTGAGTCCCTTCTTTCTGCCATACTGAGCTGGGCAAAATTTAGCAGGCTAGTGGAAAACAAGCAAACAAATGGCAACAGAAAAGCCCTTATAAATCAGGCTAACAGGAAAGTAAGGCAGCAACTTATTCTTTCTGGCAATAATTAACTCTGATGACGGCCCCCCATCTCCCTTTTTGAAATATGTAGCCGAGGGTTGTGGTGCCTGTGAAGAAGCATTTGCTCAGCAAGGGAGCAGCTGTCAGCTGCATGCTGATTTCTCCTCCCTAGGAACAGGCTTTAGCACACTGTGATATGGGCAATGCTTCACAGTTATGGTAAACACTTAGGATATTTGTCATGTATTGTTTGTGCCTACATGACACCTATCATTTTAAATCTGGCAGCTGAGATATCTGTCTGTGATTACAGTGGAGCTGCACTGATTGTCTAAAGTGAAGATATGGCTAAGAGAATGACCTTCCTCCTAGTAAATCCTTAAAAATTAAAACTAAAATACCGCTGAATTTTTTGTTGCTTAGTAGAACCTTACGTGGTTGTCTGAAGGTCATCCCTATCTCAAAAATGGGTTGCTCACAGGAAGCAACATCACATTGAGACAGGTGGAGCTCTAATGGCTACCTTCAGTCTTCCCCAGACAGAAAGGTCTACACTGCAACTACCAGCACTGCCAGCAGTACTGCAGGAAAGTTCCTTATCTGATTAGGTAATTGAAGTTGTCATCAAAAAAAAGCATTAGCAGAAAGAGCCCAAACTGCAATTGTATGAGCAGCCTTAACCCTCAAATGCCTGAACTCTCTGAATGCCATATTTCTCAGCTTGCACTTGCTTGTAATGCCTTTCTCAGAAGACACGCAAACCAGCAGTGTAAGAACCACAAGTTTGAGATCCTCTGGCAGCAGGAGTCTTCTTGCTTTTGCTCAATTAGAGATGTGAGCATTTCCACTACTTCTTGCACCCTTGCCTCCTGCCTCAGGGGAATCTAGCAGTCAAATTCTTTGGATGGTTAATTACTCTAGCTTGGGCAATTCTATGGTGCTAGCACTCAGCCTGTGGGTGTCTTCCCACGACTGGAGACCAGATTTATCCCCAGCCTATCCTTGAGGCCCACTGTGCCTTCTTTCTTGGCTGTTTTTGTTATTCACAGTACACCTTTCCCCTGGAGGCTCATGCTTTTTGGGGCCTTTGGACTAGAAATTAAAGTTTCAGGTGTAAGTCATAGTTTATATAACAGACATTCAGAAAAAAATCTTAGTTCTCCTGTCATTTCCATCCAATCAACATGTACTGAAAAATTAGTATGTATCCATCAGTGCTGACTGAGAAAATAACTCCTGAGACAGCAGTTTTTTTACAGTAAATCTGTAGTAACCTGAACCAGAGTTTATAATTCATATGCAGTTTACTCAAACTCTTACAACACTTGTGTTCAATGTGGGGAATATATCTACTCTACAAATCATTTATCTTGGGCTTTTCTTTATTAAGCAACAATAAAGTGAGAAATTGTTGAATCATAAGTTTTCATTAGCAGTCATTTATCCCATGCTCTAGTTAACCACCTGGGACTCTACAGAGGCATGCTTGTGGTGTTAGTTACTCAGACTAAGACATGGGAGAAAAAGTAGTAGGAATTTCTTGCAAGCAGAGCTTTTTCACAGTCTACAAAACAGAATGATGATGGGAAACATGTCAAATGCCAATAGATGAAGTACATCTATGAAAAAAGTGAAAACTAAGTGACTGCCTTTGAAAAACCAAAGCATTACAAAGGAAACAGATGTGTGCTATTTCTGAAAGCAGCTCACAAAAGGGATGAGTGAGCTTTTTGGAAGCATGGTATTGCTTCAGATCTTCTGAAGAAAGGCAAGAAAATATAAACTCTAAATATGCTATCATCCAAATAAAACCTGTATTAGATCCTTAGATCATCTTTTGCTCAGCTCTGGTGAATTTTTCATTTTCTGCTGTCACTGAGTTATGTATGTGGTCTTGCTTCAAGAATGATTGTGCCGTTACTGCCCACAACAGTACTCTTTCTGTAAAATTAATCTAATGTAGGAAAAAATGATGTCTCCAAGCTCTTTTCCACAAGCATAATATACACCAATCTAAAGACTAAGTCCAGAAATAAATCAGCACGAGTTTTGCTTCAGGAAGCACTATGGACCCTTCCCAAGGTATATGAAAACTGCAGCTTTATTTGTTTGTTTGTTTGGGTGTTTATGTGTGTGCATGTTGGTTTACATCAGGTAGTTTATAACTTTTCTCCCAAGACTGCGTTTTTTTACCTTCTGGCACTCTTTGCTACCCCAGCTGGAATGCAGTTCTGGGATGTATACCTACTCTGAAAGCCAGAGCTACCAGATGGTGGCACAATCTCCACCAGGAGGTTCTAGAGCAAAGTGTTTCACTTTTTTTTTTTTTTTTTTTTTTTAAAAGCCCTCATTACAAAGAGGTTATTTATAGTGTTGTTCTAATAAGAAGCCAAAACAGAGCAGCCTTTTATTAGAACTCGCAATAAAGGGCATTACACTGAGGCCTCCCTGTAAATACCACTAACTGTGCAAAAGTTGGCCTGGGTATTAGCAGAGAGTTCACTTAACTAGGAAGGTTTTAAAGAGCTTAAGCAGCATTCATTCAATTAATTCCACATGTGACAATGTCATTTTATCGTAACTATTTAAGAACTCAGAAATGAGGAAAAAAAAAAAAAAACCAAAAAGAGAAACTGTTCCCTCATGAGCTTCCTCTGAAGAGTTTTATTAAAAGTCCTGTAAGTTTGCCTGTTTGAAAATATCCATTTAAAACAGCCTTTCCACAGTTCAAATACAGAAAATTTGGAGTTAATAACAACAACAATAATAACAATAATAATGATGATGATGATGATGATGATGATGATAATAATAATAATAATAATAATAATAATAATAATAATAATAATAATACCCTTATCTTCTAGGTGAATGTAAGTGGGTGAGAGAAAGCAGCAGAGGAGCTCCTTTTGGCTTACTCCTCTGCAGTGAAAGTGTTTTCTGTAAGTCCTGTCTGAGGCATCTTCAGCCAGGGAATCTAATCTGAGGGACAGGGCCTTGCCCCCTCCTGAGCACAGGCTCCTGGAGGGCATGCTTTGTTTCAAACAACCCATGAATAAATTGTGGTTTTCTCTGTCTCCTGAAGTCGTTGGAGTGCAGGTGAAGAGCAGCCCCCAGGCTCCAGAAACATGCTCCAAATCTGGCTTAGGGATGGAGCATCCGGCTCACCCCTGCTGCTCCTGGTGCTGCTGGCCCCGTGCCCAAATACATCCATGCTGTCTACGCTAATTTTTGGGCTTGGGCTGCAGGACAGGTGCTTTCTCTCCTCCGCAAGTGCAATAACGCATTGCGTTACAGCCGCAAGTGCAGCTTCGGGGAGTTTTTGAGGAAAGGGGGAAGGAGGGGCAGACGAGAGAGAAGGAATCGAGGAGACAGATGTGCGTGTCCGCAGGAGACAGCCGGTTTTCGCTGGTGCGGCGGGCAGGGACGGTGGCAGCTGCCCGCTGTGCCGAGCATCTCCCGGGAGCCGCGCTCCCCGAGCTGCGCCGCCGCCGGCTCCCGGGGGAACCGGGGCTGGCAATGCACCCGCCCGCCGCCGAGCGGCACCAAGGCACCGAGGCACGGCCAGGTCCCCAAAAACATACCCCATCAAGGCGGCAACACGGGAAACTGGGCTTTTCCCTCTCTGCCAGCAGGAGGGGGGTGGGGGCGACGCTGCCCGGGGAACCCCTTAGAGCCTGTCCGAGGAGCGTGAGGCAGCCGGAGTCGTTCCTGCTGATCACAAGCAAATGACTGGAAAACTTGTGGGTCTGCAAGTGAGACTTCTCAGTTCTTAAGCAATAGCAAGGACAAGTTTCTGGAGCGGCAGGGTGAGTTACACAGCGAGGAAGGGAAATTCCAGCCCAAATTCCAGCTTTTGTCTCAAGCTTCCCTCCTTGCATGTCACTATGTACCAAGCATGCCTGTAGATGGCGAAGCCAGTCTGGTGCACAAGTGGCTTCACTGACTTAAAAAAAATCTATTCTTTTGTTCACATAAAAACTAGGGAAAATGAACTATGCCGAGGGCTTTGGATACCCAAGAAGTCCACGTTAATGGAGCAGAGTTATACCCCTCAAAAACCTCACTGCATGCTTTGGTAACATCCTCAAGGCGCATAGGACTCTTTGAACCA